CAAACATCCACATTCAAACATATTGCTCAAAACACTGTCAACATAAAGGATTTCTCAAGTTGCGTGCTGCCATGTATGCTCGATAGCCATGCTCGGTAGCCATCAACTGAACAAGTACATTGCGCCCTCCAAAATTCTGGAGAATTGACGGCATAATACTCCATTTGCATTCATACATGCACTCGACAATCATTGACACCAGTCTGCTCTTTGAGGTACCGATATCCAAAACTCTTCATATTAACATCCAGTCCAAATTTCAAACTCAAATATCCTCCTAAGAACTTGGCCTACAGAAAAAAAATGCAACAAAATACATGAATAGTTATTAAAAAAAATAATAACTAGAAAACAAAGTTTAATATGTCATAATAACACTTATCAAACTTTTGTCAGCTCCTCGGTAAATCGCACCATCCAAAGAGTTAAGGTACACAAACTTTTTGTCTTAAACATTCAAGACCAGTAAGAAGATGTTGAACTTCAACAACACCGGAAAGAAAACATACCTCACTCAATCAAAGAACTCATCACATCATCACATACGACAACAGTACTTCTAGTAAGACTTGAAGTACACGCATCATAATCTTCAACTTTCAGACACCTATTTTCTTCAATCTTTCAAGAGGACTTATCAAATCACTCTACAAATTAAATATTTTTTAGTAAATTAACAATCAGTAAAGTTAATATAGTATATAAAAATAAAGTACCTAAACATATGTCGGCAAAAAGCGAATATGAGGATGGCAGCCACGCAATATCTCTATAAAGTAATCAACGAGTTGACAATCCAACTCATTCCCGAATGTAAGAGGACACATTGATTTCCTTAATATCAATATTCGATCATTGCTCCACATTTTGCTACCAAAATTTGGAATTCTAATTAGTATAATATAACAGAAATGAAACAATTAAAAAACTGAAGTAATTTCTGTTACCTCAGGTGATCGCTTGCCAGGGATGATCAGATGGTTGTAGCATCTTCTTTCTGCACGTTCTCATGCCCATTGAAATCCTCTCTTTCCCTTTACGCATTCAAAGAACTATCATCACCATCACTCTTGCCACCCTCCTACATTACAAAATAATTAATTAGTTATACGAAAACAACACAAACAATCATATAAATTACAAAAATAAAATTGCTAGTCTCATTACCCCCATAATCAATCATGGTCACCAACTGCAATTTTTATTTATTTCTTTTGTCTCTTCGGACCGAATGACTGCGGGGGTCATAAAATCTACCGACTTCGTCTTCTTTTTTCGCCCTACCCTCTCTCTCACCCTCTTCACCATGGAGGACGACTGTTGTCTCTCTTATGGTTGTCAGCGTAACACGCGCGAACTCTTGTGCTCAGAGTTCGGCTCATTCCACAACCCTTTTTTTTTTCAGCCCTCCCTTCAAACCAGCATCCTCCACGACCCGGTCGATTAATCGATCCAATTCTTAATACTCATTCTCAATAGCTTTCTCCATCATGATCAGAGCTCATCTTCAATCAATCCCACCATCATTTTTTTCCTCCTCTTTTTCCTCCACTTTTTGCTCATCGGTCTGATCAAAACCATCACCAACCCCAGTCTCATTTCTTTCAGGAGCCTGCTATTTTTCTTTTTCTTCATTCTTCTTTTGGTTTCTCTGCAACTCCAACACTAAAATTTGGACGTAGAGAAGAAATGAAAGTCAGATGGGATTTTTTTTGGCCCGCCATTGGTGTTTCATGGGCCGACAAGGGTTTGGTCGGAGATGATGGCCGGCGGCGGACTGTTCAGGTCGAGGCCCGAGCTTCATGCTTCACGGAGGTCGAGGGCCGACGGGGGTTTGGTCAGAATATTTTTTAATCTGACAATGTATGATGGTTGTGGGGCGGGAGATGATCGTGTTATATGGGAGACGATGGCTTTGAGAGAGAATGATAATTTCTTTTCAAATGTTTATGATTTTCGAATAAGATAAATGATTAACAATAATATTAGTATATATACATGGACTGAATAGGAAAGAGAGAGTTTTGGTAGGGAGTGCAGTGAGAAAAAAAAAAAGAATGAGAGACTGAACAGGAAAATGAAAAGAGGGTTGGAGATTTATTTTTAATTAATCGTACTTTTAACTATCGATAACTTTCATTACCTGTCATACTTTTACATCATATCAATTTAATTATTATATTTTATATTATTTAAATACAATATTTCTTATCCTTTTAAATACAATATTTCTTATCC